TGTTCTACTGCCCCAAGATGGAGTAAGTGTTCGACCTCTTGTATGAGGATTGTCTCGTGAGATGGGTCCCTGAAGAGGGATGGGGAAGGTGGGTGGGTAAGGGGAGGGGAAGTAGAAGAGAAAGAGATATAGTACCCATTCCTTATAATGTCCAGGACCCATCTGTCGGTGGTGATGGTTGACCATTGTTGAAAGAAGGGTGCGAGATGTTGCCAGAATAGGCGGAAAGGTTTCAGCTGCCTTGAACAAGAAGGTGATATTGGACTCTCAACATACGGTTCAAAAGGTTTGTCTTGATGTAATCGGTTGAGAGGTGGTGAGTTGGTCTGAGTTTTGTCTCCTACTAGTCTGTCGTCTTCTCCTATTGTCAAACTATCTCGGAGGCTGGGAGAAAGCAGTTGATCTATATCTTTGATTGAAGTTTCTGTTCTGCTTACGCTTTACTGCAGGTACGTGGCTGCCCAGAGTTTTCAAGGTAGTACGGGAGTCCTTGAGAGAGTGAGAGGCATCCGTGGTGTCTGTGAAGAGTTTTGACCCCTGAAAGGGGAGGTCTATGACTGTTGCTTGGACCTCTCATGGGAAGCATGAAGGATGTAGCCAAGACGATCTCATTGCCATAGGAGTCACTAGTGACCTGGAGGCAGCATCAGAAGAGTCCAGTGAAGCTTAAAGGGCCATGTATGTTATCAGCATGTCCTCATTAATGTTGGCCCTGAATGGCTCTCTTTTGTCCTTGGGTAAATCCTTAATAAATTTCACCATACTTTCAAAAACATGGTGCGTGTACTTGGCAAGCATCGCTGTATAATTAGAGATGCACAGTTGCAATGAGGCTGAGGAGTATGCCTTTCTTCCCATCAGGTCGAGTCATTTCCATTCTCTGTCGTATGGCATGTTCCTCGTGGCAGCTTGTTTTCCTCTATGGCTCACCGTATCTACCATGATAGAATTTGGGGTGGGATGGATGAATAAGAAGACAGTGCGATATAATATTTCCAGTCTGATCTATTGCAGACAGGTTACATGGTAGCTGGGGTCTGCCAGAGGACTTTGGCCAGATCCAAAAGAGCTGGGTCCTTACGGAAGGCCACCTTAGCTGCAGGGAAGGCATGCAAAATACTTGTTAATTTGTGCTGAGCTCTGGGAGGCTAACCAGAGACACTTCTAGGGTGTCCGCTACCCTCCTGTACAGCTCTTGAAAGGACCTGAAGTCGTCCTCCACAGGGGGAGGGGTACAAGAGTATCGTCAGGAGAGGAAGAAGAAATATGCACTGGTGGATAAGCTGTACACTCATCATCAGTTGAGGGGGGATCAGCATCTTCTTGATACCAGGAGGTGTCCATCGATGGCATAGTGCCCACGCTTGGTGGCAGAGCTACGCTGTTTGAGGCTGCGCAGTCTGTGGTTGCTAGCTCCTGTAGGGAGCCCAAGGGTTCCAATATGGCCAATTTGGTGGCATGGGTGGAGGTGATGGGAGTCACTGAGGCATCTGCCACAGACGCACTGGTGGATGCATCTGTTGGTATGGATGCTTAGGTGAAGAGTGCCTTGGAGTATGGCTTCCACTGATGGGTTCATTGTCCTCATCACTAGACAGGCAGTGCTGAACGGGTTGGAGTGGATAACCCAAATCTGCTGGATGCAGGTGTACCATCGGTGCCGAATAGCAGCGTGGTCGGTATCAACGTAACCCAGAGTTCCTCGACCATCGTTAATGGAGGGGCAACTGATGCAGGCAACACTGATGGTGCGGAGGACGGCAGTACTGTTGCAATCTGCAGTGCTCATGGCGCCTAAGATAAGGCATGCTTCTGTATTTTTGGTACTGTGGGAAGTACTGTGGGTGCAGGTACCCTGACAGGCTGCGGTGCTGATGGTGTCGGTCCATGATGTGTCTTTGACATGGCCTTCTTGGGTGCCGAGTCAGTAGATGTCAGTGCAACTGGTGCCAATTTCAACTTGGGCTTACTCGGTGCCCTGTTTGATGGCCTTGATAGGTCCTTACATCCTCGGGACCCATGTTCTGACAATGGTCCTGGCACCTCCCTGTCCCAAACCCTTGAATGGGTCAGTGCAGGGGGTATTTTAGGTGCTGTCTCCTGCTTTTTTGAGGGGGAGTCACCTGTGCCCACCATGTGGGAACTCTTCCTAGAAGTCTGAGGAAGATTCTTGAGAAGACGTGGCAGATAGGAACACCTTCTCTGACATGGCCACTGGTGAGTGCTCTGGATTGGAGGCTGGTCTTACAGCGTTTTCCAGGGAGATTAACTTCAATTGAAACTCCATCACCTTCTGCGTGTAGGCTCTGAACTGTTTACATGCTCATGTGCTGTGACATGCTTTTGGCCAAGGCACTGAATGTACTGAGAGTGCCCGTCAGATATAGGAATTGAAAGCCTACAGGTTAGGCACTGTTTAAAACCTGGGAAACCCAGCATCCCAGGTAGAATATTCACAGGTTTGGTGAAAGAAATCTAATCCTAGGTAATGTAAGAACTAATAAAATTAAACAAAATTTAAACTACAACTAACACTAACAGCAAAACTTGAATGATTTAACTGGAGAATTGAACAAGTAAGTAACTATCCTAGCTAAGAAAGGGAAAAACTAAGTTGGAGAA